GGCCGGCAAGATGAGTCGACCCTGCATGTGTTTCATAGGGATTAGTATGCCGGTTGATCTGACCAAATGCAGGAGAAGATAGTTCTTGTTTGGTTTCAGACACCGCTTTCACGATTTCGGACTTGAACTTCACTCTCAGCGTGATCGTACTCTCAACGTGGTACAGAATGGATGGCCACGGCCAACGTAGACAGCTGATGGACAGTCTACCCTGCACCCATCTGCACCGGCAGCAAACATGGACCTGAGGGGTCGGGGTCCAAGCCCTTTCCATTGGTTCCAGGGCGATTCTTCGGGTGGTCCGCCAAGCCTGCTTCATTGTGTTGATCATGAAGCTCCGTTCCACCGATCCTCATTCGCTGCTCCCACTGGGCGCAAGCTGAACAATTGGCGCACGTCTCGTTTGGCACCGTTTCCGTACAAATCGACTGTTTAGAATGAGCGGAGCTGAAGGTCCGGCGGCAAGACCGATATGAGGGTCCGGTGTGTTCTTTTTCTTTTTCCATGGGACAGACGGCACTGAAAAGACAATGCCATGCTGGCCATGCTGGCCATGTGTTCTGGGTATTGTGTTGGGAAGACGACAAATAACATGTGGGCCATAGTGGGCCTCTAGGACTCTAGGCCCAGATGGTGATCATTTTCTCATGCAGTAACTGGGATCAACTGATCCAGATCATGTGCTGGGTGAAGGGTGTGTATGTTGAAGGGGTCTGGCACGTCGTCGGGGTTTGATGCCAGACCCTGCATTGAATTCCTCACAGCCACAGCCTGTCTTGGCCAAGACACCAATTGGTCAGGTGATGGTTGGAAGGAGATGAGCATCAAACTATAATAAACTATAACCATCTATACCAGCAGTCACAAGACGGGGTGCCTATTGGAGGATACGGGTGCCCATTATCCACTCACTGGATGGGACCAAAAACCACACCTTTGTGGCTCCTGGTAACCAAATAATGTCACAACCCGACATTCAAGTTTATAACCTGGGACAGCATGAACCTTAGACCAACCTACCCACCGAACTAGCCACGGACAGACTCAGCTTGCTCTAGTACTCTTGGCCTTCCTCCCGGCCTTCCTGCTTCCTGGGCTTTATGAGCCAATCCAGCAATTTCTCTCAACACCCCAAATAGGCGGATTTTGGAAATCTCCAATCGGGATATCCTAGTCTAGAGCCCACCTAATACAAGTCCAACAAGAAGATATATTCTCTGGCAAGCAAACAGCTTCAACCCGGACAAGGCTGATTATTTCGACCGGACCTCATCCGATCGCATCCAACTCTGTCGAGATTCCTCGTGTGCAGAGGGGGAGAGCTGCTCGAGCTGCTCGAGCTGTCGCCGTCCGACCAAACTCCGCATTTGACGCCTCGGACTTGTTCAGACAAGCCCATGCTCGCGACATGCGAACCGCTCCATTTCAAGCGCACGAGCCTCATTTATGACAGCCCATTTTTGAGGTTCCGTCGAAGTGGTCCAAGACTATATTACAGTAGAAGCCTCAATTAATCAATATCACCGCCACTGGGAGGGATAGTGTTTGAAACTCCGTGTGCACACTAAGCTCAAAAAGATCAGTTGCCAAGGCGAGAGAATGAAACTGGCATCTCTCAGGTGAGGGCCGCACTTTGCAACATTCTACAACATCTGATGGACCAGTCTGGGATAGTCTCGGTTAAGGTCTCTTCGGATATATCAACCATCAAGTCATGATTGATCACCACAACTGGTGCAGTCATCCAAATATGCCAGTTGTCTATGTCCGAAACGGTCTTTGATTTTTTTGATGGCCGACTCCCAGATGGCCCATCTCAGAACTCCCAGATGGCCCATCTCAGTCTTATACTTGTCATAAAGAGGCCAGTGTCCACGAGGAATGTGATTGGAGCCATCCAAAGTATATATGTCAAAGTGCAGTCACACACATTCATGCTCGAACAGCAGCATCTTTGGGGTCAGCAAGTGTGTAGGTTGAGGTGTAAGCATTTGTTGCTGGTCAGCCTTCCCTTTGCACACGTTACCTCCATCTCATTGGCCTGGTGGAACACCATCTGGTGGGCTGTTTTTTCCGTGTGGGTTGACCAACACAATCGTCATGGCTTGGGTGGGATTTCACACTCAGTCAAGATGACCATGTTTAAAGCCCTAGGAATATGCACCTATTTGAGGGACCCCATTCTTTTCAATCGTTTCTTTTTTTCCGGGGGGGCGGGGGTAGCTACGTGTTTTTTAGTGTTATTATTTGTCGAAGGTGTCATGTCAGTTTTTGGAGCAGACTGGGCACTACTTCAGTGATACGACGTCCGCTCCTTCACTGGCCACGAAGCCGTCGACAGGAGTGGCGAGGCTCGGCGCGAAGCCGCAAGGGAGCGCGCATGGACACGGGCATGGCTTCAGTTGAAACTCCCAGCGACGAGCATGGATACGACGGGTAGACTCGGGTAGACCCGTCTTTTCTCTTCCCGAAAAGCAAGATGAAAGATGAGTTGACCCACTTCGAAGTGCTGAGGACCTCAAATGAGTAGTTGGGTAGATGGTAGAACACAGTTGGAGTGGCTAGCTTGTTGGTTTCGCTCTAAAAAGAGCCATGTGAAAACGCTCTTGGCCTTGATAGGAAATCATCAGTGAAACGAGCCCTGCAAGAATTTCTCAAGAGGTGCACTGGAGTCTGAGCCTGCCTTGAGGTGTTGAGAACTATACCTGCCAGTTTTTGATTTTTGGGCCGGTGCCCAAGGGTCTTGGTCTTGAAATATGGGTGTGTATTACATATTAAAATGGGGGAGACCCCCAAAGACTGCAGGGAAGAAGGGATATAGACCCAAACCCATTTGGGTTGCGGGTCTCCCCAGTAAAATACAAACTCATATGCTGTTACAACCCCCAACCTTTTCCAAGCACTAGAGCTTTCGGGAATGCCCTTCACATCTCTTCACACCAAATGATCTTTCTTTTCAGGTCTCCACCAATGATCCAGACGCAAAATGGTGGCAGACACCCAAGTGGAAAAGCCAACACTAAGGAACCAGGTTTCTTTCGGTCTACCGAGTGTCTACGCCACTTGAACAGCCCTGGTCATGGGAGTTTTCCCAACTCAACCAACAATCAATCCATCACGATCTTGGAGAAATCCTCACAGCGGGGCCTCGAGCACACAATTTATCTCATCTCAATCACGGGGCCTCTCGAGGAGCAAAGTCATTGAGCGCCTGGGCCTCTTCCACCCAGGAGGACTGGTGTTTCACGAACGACGTCCGACGACATGGGAGTTGCATTGGTTGCAAATGCATCACGTGCATGAGTGCAGGTTGCCGAGGGAGCACTCCAGGTGTGAATCGTCCGGACGAAGCAACATGAGTGAAGCAATCTATGGGGGTCTCTCTTGGCCTACCTTGTTTTACACTTCTCTCATAAAATCATTGACCTTCCCTTGGTCCGACTGTCGGTGGATCCACAAAGGCCCATTGCCACAATGGCCCCTTTTCTTCACGTGCCACATCGCAGCACCATGTCTTCGGGTTGAGAGTAGTGAGCCACTACTGCCCACTCAATGATCCTAATGCAAGTAACTATTCCATACATGGATGGTTTGGGAAGGCATCTTGGATGTTCCCGGCAACTTGCAACTTTTTTGCCTGAGAATGTGTCATGCCACATGTGATGAGTGTGGCTGTGTCGACGTCAGAACCTGCGTCAGACGGACTGGTCGTCTGGGCACTTAGCAAAGGCTAATCGTTCCCGTGATCTTTTTATGGCCCACACCGGGATGCAGCTTGATTGCGAGAAGAAACACAGGCGATGCTTTGTACAGACAATGCCATCAGTACAGACGCCATCTGGTACTCATCGAGTCTCTTCCGGTGTGGTGGATGTACAGTTCCCGTTTCTTTGGTCGTTCTTCCTTAAACACGAGACAAAGTGAGGGAAGAATGGTCCATAGGGCGGCCCTCCGTTGATTTAGATTGTACAGTAGGTCGTTGCGACATTATGTGCTCTCAATTCTCAATCTATGGCTCTTGAATGAGGCAAAGGGTGCGCAGAACAGATCCAGCGGCTCGTTTCAAAGAACTCGTTGTGGGCAAAGGTGATCATTAAACCGAAGCTGCATGCGTACGGTACACTTTTGTTGAGATTTTGTTTTCATTAGACCAACAAGACGGCAACCAACCCGCCTTCATTCAACTTTGAGAGGTTGCCAAAGCACAGCCCAAGTATCGAATTCTGTCCGCGGTATGTCCGATGGAGCGTGAACCGCGAGACAGATCGCCGCAAGACCAAGAGATAGAAAGGCTGAAAAGATCGCATCAGCTGGAAAGTTCCAGAAGATTCGTACCTGTGCGGAACTTGCAAGACGAAGAAAACTACCCAGTTTGTGGTGTTTGTGGATCCAGTATCTGCCATAGTATAGTCCTCTCAGAAAAAGACACAATCTGAAGAGTCTCCAAGTCTTCCAACAAACAACTTGGAAACTGCTACGTTTGGCACCCTGTTTCATCTCGAAATCGAAAACAACAGGGACTTCTAGAGCTCCCAAGTCAGTTCTGCTTCTGCTTAGCGTCCTGTAAAGTCCTTCAGGCTTCCCTAGTACACCACAGGCCCAGGTGTTTCAGGCTTTTCAGGAGACAATATGGCTGGAGATCAGTGAACACTGCTTTGAAAGGAGGAAACACGCTCAGTCAGTGAACAGGGCCCTGCTAGAAACCTGTAACCGCCCAGACGCTCATGGACCCTCATACTAGTACTATAGAGGGATCCGACCCTCACATGGAGCGGTCTGGGTTTTGAGGGACCCAGGGCTGTTTGGAGGGACCCAGGGCTGATTGTAAGAGCGATGGCCTCCAACCTAAAAGCAATGGCCTCCAACCTGTAACTCGCGATGGCCTCCAACCTTAGAGGTCCAAACAAATGACTCCCAGCATCTTCTTTTTTTCATCTTCAGACGAAGCAGTTCTTCTTCCTCCACCGGGCCTCGGTCGATGCCGGCGTCGGCGCCTCCAGGTGTCGCGCAGCCGCTTGGCGACGGGACGGCCTGTCGAGGCCAGCGAGTGGACGGCGTTTCTTGGGTTTCTCGGGTTGGTGAGGTCGGTGTCCGGTGAACAGTTGGTGAACAGTTGGTGACCAGTTGGGTGATGGTTGGCTGGGGTCAAGATGGAAGGAATGGCCAGGTTGTGACTGAAGGGATGAGGGCTGGGGGTCGCCGTGGCTTGTTGCCTTGGCAACGTTTCTCCTGGAGATAGTCTAATAGGGAGTCTATGAAGGTTCCAGGGACACATGGCCTCACCAGATTGGTTGTGAGGTGAGCACTCGAGGGTGGGAGTACAACCAGGAGCTATAGTTGTCAGGGTGCAGGTGGGTGTGACCACCGGCTCTCAGTTTGAGCGACATGACTGTGGTCATGGCACCAGACCGACTGTCCCCGATCGCCCCCTCTTGTGTCGGTCAAACTCACTCTCTTGCGGTCGTGCTCGGTCGACGGGTCGGGCTCGTTTGGTGCCATGACCCATCCCTACATGGCACCAATTCACATCCCACTAGATTCACCATTTTTCATCTGCCGCATTTTTCCCCCTCAGCATCGGACCGATCGGACCCCCAGCCACCGTTTCGGAGCTACTAGGTGGAGGCCATCGCAAGTAGGTTGCTACTAGGGTGGAGGCCATTGCCACTCGGGTGGAGGCCATTACGACTACTATAGACAAGATGTAACAAGAAGCTACTAGCAACGAGGGTCGGAGAAGGGTCTCAAGGGCCAGGATGCAGCTGCCAGGCATTGAAGGCTGCGAAGCTGGCTGCAGCGACCTTCCAGGCGTCCGGAACCGGAGGAAGAATCAAGCATGCCCAGACTAGACTACCCACGGATGGAAATGCTACATTCAATATACCATCATTTACCGTACCCCATTTCTATGACTCTATAATATGCTGTATATAATAGGTAATATAACCAAAATAACTATAACTATTCCATAGATGGATGGTCTGAGATAAGAGACCTGGCGCTACAGCCAGTACCCGACCGCTACAGGTCTCCTTGTTAGGTGATCTAGTTGCGACCTGTAGCGGCGTGCGACCCTCTAGCGGCGTGTGCTGGTCCTTCCCCTTGAAAGCAGGACGCCGTTCCCCGGATGACGGTCTCACTCCCCGGTCTTGACCCGTTTCAAGGCGAGTTTGGGGAGATCTTTGCATCGTCTGGTCGGTGTTCCTCAGATATGTTCAACGAACCAAGGTTGGTGCGACTGGGGCTGATACAGGCACCCAGGAACCTGTTGAAACCAGTTCGGTTTGGGATGAAATCCGACGTGTGAGCCAGGCTAGGACCAGGCTTCCCAGAAATTGTCGGGTGTGGGACGTAAGGATTGGACCAGTTCGTTTCGGTCAGCCCCTATGGTTCCTTCAAGAGGTTCCTTCCTTCAATCAGTCCTCACAGAAGCCCTCTTCCTCTCCTCTCTTCGTTTTGAATGTGAGGATGCTACTTTTTCGCTGTCAGCCTCCGCAATCCCTCGCAAGGTTGGTCTTTTCTCACTCACAGACTCACATGCTCCGTTCACAGCTTCACCGGTCCCTCAAGACCGAGCAGGATTGGTGAGAAACCCCAGACCGTTCATTTGAGGGTCCAGGGTTGCCTTTGGTCGCCTCTGGGCAGATCAAATCGAGCCTGTTGAATCATCAAGAGTTGGTCACATCGAGGAAAGGAATGAAGCAGCAAACCCCTTTCCCAATACATTCTTTCAACATGCTTCAATCTTGTGTTCCCAAGAAGGACCCTCAGGATCTTCAGACCACCAATTGCCAGTATCTCTACGTATATAGGGTGGTTGTTTCAGATATGTTTACTTTCAACATATCTTTCAACTTGAAAACTGGATCTGATCCCACGGAGTTCTTAGCTCTCAGGAGCTGGGCGATGTGGCAAGTGCTGCTGGCGCGCAGGGCGCAGCGGTTGCTTGGCGTGTTGGCGGGCGGACCCACAAACGGGTCCTGCGGGTGTGGCACGAGCCAGCTGTGGTGGGGGTCGCGCTTTGGATCTGTATTCGAGGCACCCCAAACCCTTCAAATTTATAGGGTCGATGGAACAAAAAGCAACTTATTTGTATTATATATATATAATATATTTATACATTATATCAACTTATCAGGTTTCTATGAAAATTCAGAGTTGCAACGCTCAAGCCCAACGAATGCTCTGGAGGGGTCTGGGGTCTCAAATCCCTAGGTTTTGAGGGACTAAGGGCTGTTTGGAGCACCTGGGCATGTATTTTTGAAGATTTTTTTGATGATTTTTAGATGGATTTTTACGTGACCCGAGTCCAGGAACTGATTTTGGGAAATGCCCATCAATAACTGTTGAAAAAACACATCGAAGAGGCGGTTGTCGTGTGGAACGTACGCGGTGGTCGTGACGTCTCCATGGCTCTCACCGCGACACGTTGGGCGACACCCAAACGAGTGAGGCCTTGGCCCATTTGGAGTTGGGGCAGCTACCGGAGGCGCCGAGCATTTGGAGAGGTTGAGGGGGAGCGGACCGTCGTCTTCGGTCAGTGTGGGATCCCGAGTTCACCACGATTTGTGGGATCCAAGATGACAATGCGATAGTGATTTCATATCAACACGTAAAGAAAGATCCAAGTAATGGATGAACATCACCAGATGATCACCAGAAAGAATGAGGTGAAACAGAATTTCGTTTTTTTGTGTTCCCACGTGCCTTGCGGGATGCTTGGCTCAGAGCTTCGCGAAGATTGCTGGCCAGTCTTTCATTGTTTTGTCTCAGTCTTCTATTTCCATGGGTCACACTTTGTAACGATATATGACCCCCAGGGTCAGGGGTATTGGACATCATTTAAAGACCTCTACCTGGGGAATCTGGGAAAAGACCTGCAGCTCAGAGCAGTGCTGAGTTTTCGGAGTTGGACAAGGAACTTCCAGTTCGCTGGACCATTCGGGCAAACACTCAGAGAAGTTGTTAGCACGTCCAGCACTCCCTACAGGCCTCGTTTGGTGGCTTAAAGGTGGCGAGGTAGTAGAGGAACCGTCATTTTCAGAAGGCCTAGGGATCCACGTACCATCTCAGAAGGTACGACTGGACCCTAGAAAAGACCTCCTACATTAAAGTGTCTCCAATGACTTTCTCAGAGGGTATGTGGGTCTTCCCTTGAGACTCGTCGTGTGGGTGGCGATGACGTTCTTTCGCCGTGAGTCCTTTTTCTCCCGGTCAGGTGGTCGCAGAAGTCTCGGATCCACATACCCTCTGAGAAGGTAATTGGACACTCTTGTATTTATATATTGTATAGGTTTGGAGGGTACCTTCTGAGAAGGTATGTGGATCCCTAAAAAATTCGGTGTCTGAAAACTCCTGATTTCGGGCCTGCACCAGCGGAAGGATGTGAAAGCCTTTGAAGTTAACGCCTGGGCTGTTTGTGACTCTGCTCTTTCCGAGCCATCGAGTCGAGTCTCCATGGGACTCTCCTCCGGCCTAACATGAACCACGTACCACATGAAAACCAGGTCGACCTGATGAAAAACAGGTCTCTGACATGCTAACAGGTAATTTGAAATGGAGACTTTTCAATGGTGCTCACGTGGGTGCTTTTCCCACCAACTCTCCGGACTCCGATCCTCTCCGGTCGCTCTCCATCGCTCGCTCGACTCCAGGCGGTTTCCTTAGCCTCCAAAGCTCCTCAAGATCTCGCCGAGCGAGGCGCCGTGTGTCGGCGGGGGGGTTTCAAGAACTCATAATTGGCAACCAAACGCCACGAGAGAGATTTAATAAGATCCGACAAGATGTCTGGGGTTGACAAAGGTCCATGAATTTGAGACAGGGATGTTTCTTCCTGATCTCACAACAATCAGCTCTAATCAGACTTTGTTTTGTCTCACATTTGCTGCATGTTCCCTGATGTTCAGGAACTTGTTGTTCCTCGAGGTGGCGTCTATTCGCGTGCTTGTGGGACAAGTCTCGGTTGATGGTTGGGGTTTAGAAGCAGGGCGATATGCTCTAGATGTCTATCAGCCGAGCGGAACTGCAGAAGATCATCATAGGACTTGAGAGCACTGGCATGGTAGTGACCCATCAAGGCAGAAAGATGTTGAGATCCATAAGTAGGAGACGTTACAATACATTACAGAGTCAACCGTGCCAGGTTTTCCAATCAACAAACCAGCCCACCAACTCTATCCAGGCTTGCGAAGAGCCTGTGCGGAGGCTTTGCGTGTGGCCGGGGTACCTCAGAGCCATGGAGAGCCAATCATTGCATGGCACGCGACCGTTTTCACTGGCGCAGTCTGTGCCAGAGAGGTGTTGCGGCCACGTGCGGCTGTCTCAGAGTCTGACGTATGATGAATCGTCAGTCAAGCTTCTACAGTATGTTGTATTCATGTTTTGTTTGGACATCATTTGTATATAGTTTCGTAATTTTGTTTGCTCCTTTTTGTAGAGCCACCTCCATTGATTTGGTCTCAAGATGCCTCAAGCAATGTGTGGCAGCTAAGTGTCCATGGACAGATCTACCTTGCAGCTGTGGGAGCATGATCTAGAAGTTTTTTGAATCTATAAACTCTATAGATCAATGGTGACGATTAGGTGCCTATTCTGCTGCAGAAGTGAAACATGTTTCGCCTTGTGGTTTCAGTCAACATTGAGATGACTTCTCATCTCGCTGCGGAAGCCATGCTGCATCTTGCGTAAACATGCGTAAAACCCATCAGACTCACTCACACTCATGGCCTTTGCGTAAACACAAGACACCAGGTGTTCTGATGTGTTCTGCATTATGGCCATGTGACTGACGACGGTCTATCTGAACAGCAAAAGATGTCGACCCTCAATGACTGGGTCGATCTTTGAAAGGATTTTGTGGCCAAATCATACCAAAGACAGAGAGAGACCCTAAACCCTAAACCCATCTAAACCCGGTTTCTGCAAGATGAGTGGAGGTGCCCGTTCGGCCGTTTTGACCTGAGGTTTTGAGGTTTTGCAATTTCTTGTAGCTTGGCAAACTTTACAGCTACATAGGCTATGGCTACATGGCTCTCTGACCCGGATCTCGGTGTTCCCCACACGTGTCGTGCACGATCCACGATCCACGACACGGCACCGAGGCCAGCCGGGTCTATTTGGACGCTTGTGAGCTCGAACGCGCCATGCAAGTGGGGCTCGAGGCGGGGGATCGAAGGAGCCAGACATCGAGTTTCTGGGCGGTTTGGACATAGACAAGCAGAGCAGATTTAACGCCAGCCGAGTGTAATAACCAGATCTGATCTACCAGGCAATGCTTGGTTCGCCAATAGTGTTTTCTAGTGTTTTTTTGACCAGAAGAAACTAGCAAGACAGCACGAATCCACCGAATCCACCGAATCCACGCTCCTCGCCATAGATATCATGTGCCAGTCGACCGTCGGCCGGTGGAATTTGATTGGAAAGTACCGGGCCGTTCAACGGTTAATCTTCAACTCCAAAGGAGAGAGTTCCAAGAACTTTTGTCAGACATCCTTTCCACCATACAGCGACGCGAATTCCGGTACCCTCCCGTTCTGGCGGTCAAAGCCAGTCGTCGGGCCGCTCCTCGTCGGGTCACCGGCAGCCTCGCACGGCCGCGGAAGGATGGGCGCGGAACGACCGGTGTTTCGGTCGGTCTTCGTAGCGAAGACGGAGCAGTTCGGAGTGGGCTGAGCCACGTCCCATCCAGTGAGTGGATGTGAAGTGCTTAGCACCCCGGCCAGTTGGGCACCCCGACGAATTGCTGGAAAGTTCTTCACCCCCGAGATTCCTGAAAGGATCATGAGGCTCCGGCCACTGCAGGCCATTCCCTTCTTTCCATCGTCAATACACACCTTGATTCCAGGTGGTGAGGCTCCGGCTCAGGTGTGTGACAGTGGGCTTCGGGATCTGACGGGTCAACAGGTGATCCATGAAAGCGTGCCAATTCAGACAAACATCACAGGATAAGGGGAAAGTGAGAATAGAGAGTGTTTAAACGTATTTAAGTTTTAGCACTTAGTTGTTCAAGATGTGCAATCAGACGACATACACTAGACTTGGAGATGTTTGATTGCTAAGGAGTTCCAGGAGTGAGCACATTTTGGGATTGAAGACCAAGGCTCGATGAAGATTCAAAGCCCCGGTTGAAGGACACATGTCTCATCCTGAGATGTCCGGCTCGCCATGCTGCGGAAGAAGCCGCAGTGGGTCGTGGGAGTGCTGGTGGGATGCAGTTGGTGCTCTGGATTTGCATTTGGCCCGACGCTTTTCAGGTAGCGGCTGGGTTTTTGAAGAGAGAAGCTCTTAAAAGATTGGGCCTTTGAGGGTCTTTGGGTGTGGCCACCGGTTTGAATTACAGGTCAAAGATGAAACCCAGATGGAACCCAGATGGAACTGAGGCTTTCCAGTGCGTCTTTCAAAGTACTTGTGACTGGGTGTGCAGGTATGACGCTTTTCAGCGAGTTGGAGCTATCTGTGCACACCTCAAACCATAGCATACCGTGTGTATTCAAATAGGCAGACCTCCGTCCGGCGTTCCGAACCCCCTGGAAGGTTCGGGAAATAGACCAGTCTACCCAGGGCAAGAAGGTCTTCCTATTACAGACCCAGCTGCTAATTGGTTTGCTGCAACTCACGCACTGGATTTGGGGCTCTAGAGACATTACCAAGGTGAGACCAACTCTTCTTTGAACTGGAGAATTGAGACCAACATGCCAATGTAGCTGCCATCCAACTGCTTTCTTGGGATTTGTTGGGCTCCTGGCCATACTGCTGCAGTTGCTCTTCTAGGCTAGGTCAAGACCTTCAGATGTGATTATCGATCAAAGATGTTCAACATGAACAGCCCCAAACCATTCTAAGCAAGTCATTTTGCTCAGGTGAGGTGAGGTGGACATACTAACCCGTTGTTCTTTTTGGACGCGCTACAAAATCTTGGAGGGTTCACCGAACGATTTTGGAATCCAGGTGCATCCGCGTTGGATTCGCGTCATGTGCAGAGGACTACGCCACTTTCAGGCCGCGGTTGGTGGATAGGATGTCCGAATGTCGTTTGCAGCACAAACGATGCCAACATGAGTGAACCTACACTAAACATCCAACACTTGTCACTTTTGGTTCCGGTTTATAACTGAACAGGTTTTTGTGAAGGTCCCTGTGTCTTATTTTGCGAACATGGCCAGTAGTATCCAGTAGTGTACATCCAGCGCCCCCAAGTGATTTGTTTAGTAAGGGGTTATCCCTCGGTCAAGAAGCAGTCCAATCACAATGATTTCTGTGAAGCCTTCAGTGGGGGATACTCAACCCTCTTTTTTTGTAAGTAGTTTCAGTAGTTTGTAGTTTGGATACAGTACCCATGTCCCATGTGCACTGCCGTTGGCACTGCGAGATTTGCGAAAAACCGGCCAGGGGTGAATGTCAGGGGTCTGTCTGGGGTGGCATGTGATTTTTGGAAAAAACACATGACCAAAAGTCCCATCGGTCGAGTCCCTTTTGGTCCGAAGCACCGTTTGGTCCGAAGTCCCCATCGTGAGAAGCGTCCTGAGCACCGTCGCCAAGTTCATTCGCCCGAGACTTCCCAAGAGGTTGTGGAAGGTCTTTCATCCATGAACCCATCAGAACTAAGGGTTTTTGTGCCCAGATGCAGATGTTGAATCCCGGACCTCAAATCAATCCAGCTGTCCGAAGCAGCGTCCAATGTGGTCTTTTGGATCCGTGTGCAGGATTCCATGTTTGCAGGGCACGCCGAATACCTTTCGGCCGGGCGCGCACAGTGGAGATCGCAAGACCATGCTGGGGCTGCTGGATGAGGCTTCCCAGACGATTGAATGTTGCGCACCTCGGCGCGACGGACAACACTGTCTTTCTTCCACCAAGGAGAGTACAGGAGTCAAGCACTCTCCCTCAAACAAGCATGAGGTCGCTGAGCCGTCTCCCCCTTGTAGAGGAAAATCGGTCTTCCACGCCCGTTCGGGGCCGACCTTCCACTTCCGGCCGCTGGGAAACCAGGGAGTCAGGGAGGCCCTGATGGGCTGGGATCCAGGTCCGGTTCCGGTTCCGCCGAGCCGATGAACGGTGTGAGGGGGGGGGAGGTGGAGACCTATGCATATGGTGGGTGCCTCAACCTACACTCCTAACATCTTCGGAAAACAACAACTCATTGACCTTCGATCTCCGAAGAAAACAACAACATGTCTTTGTTTCCGGGTTGGACCTGGGTTGGACGTTCTGGGCCCCTTCCCCCCCAAGGTCCACGACAACATGACAACATCATCATACCTCATGATACCTCATACATCCTCATACATCCTCATCATATCATATCATATCATATCATATCATATCATATCATATCATATCATATCATATCATATCATATCAT